CGGCCCGAGGCTCCTCCGGCCACCGTGTGGGCTTCGGTCCCCGAGCGGGGAAGGTGGGCACTGGACGGTCGAGGCACAGCCCCGGAGGCCAGAGACATTTCCAGCAGAAACGCACCGCCTCGCAGTTGCTCCCAAGCTACGGCTGCGTTGAAGGCCCAGGCTGGGTTTGTGGGAGCCAGGGGCGGCCCTCCGCAGCCGGCTGAGCTGGCTGAGCTGGCTGAGCTGGCGGGGAAGCCGGCGGCGTGTGCCCACGGGGCCGGGGCCGGGGCGGGCCTCGTGGGCACCCGGCGCCTGCCCACCCTCTGTGGCGGGAACCCGGAGGGGTTGCCCACCAGCCTGAGCCCCAGGCTCATGGCTTTGCATTTCCCGGACTGCAGGGAGGGAGGGAGGGAAGGAACGGCCGGCTGCCCGGTCGGGACAGTGCGCCAGGCGGGGCTGAGGCCTTGCTGGCCGGGAGGCCGCGAGCTCAGGCACGGCTGAGGGGACAAACTGGACAAACCAGCGCCCTCCCCAGCGGGCTGCCCCCCGCCCACTTGGGCCAGGCCCCTGGCTGAGCCACCGAATGTGGGCGGGATTTGTCCTCAGGAAACAAGCCAGTGAAGAGCTCAGACAGGAAAGCCGTGACAGCTCTGCAGCTGTCAGATAGAGCGGCTGGCGGATGGTAGGTGTGGACTCTGGCTGCGGCGTGGGAGGACGGGCATCTGAAGTGCTTCTGAGTCCTGTGCAGCATTGTGACCCCAATTAGCAAATATGAAAGAACAGTCTGGAAACAGCCTCACGGCACAGTGAGTGTGGGCCCGCACACTGCAGTCAGGACGAAGACAGGCTTGTTCTGCGTGTGTGCACATGAACACATGTTACACACAAGCAGTGTGAGCTCGTTCCGTGTGTGTCATACACGCAGTGCACAGCAGGCGTGTTTGTGCATGTCAGCCTGTGTGGCTGCCTAATGCTGCGTCGAGTTCAGCCCTCCTGAGGGTCTGTCCCGAGACACGGGCAGTGGCTGTTTCGTTTTGCATCTGAAACACAGCGCGGGGCAGTCACTCCGAAGGGAAGAGGCTGCCACGGTGACCGCCCTGCCCGTGACATGCAGGTTCAGTTGAGCCCAGGGAGCGGTCACGGAACATAGCCGCGGAGAGCGCGGCTCCAATATACTTCCCCGGGTCAAGGAAGAGGGAGGGCGGCGGCGGTATCCCCAGCCTGGTCAGTAAGGGCTGCGGTGCCCTGCGCGGAATTAGCCATTTCCCATTTCCCTCTGTTGTTTTGCCTTTTCACCTGCTGCCCACGTGCCGGACAACAGCCGGAATGTTTCCTTAAGCACATTTACAACGCCTCGCTCTGAGTCCAGGCTGCTTCGACAGCCACCACCTTGGTCTTGCACTCCTCCTGGGTTGTGTGCTGAGGCCGGGGCCTGAGAGCCATGGGCGATGACACGCCTACCTCAACTGTGGACCCAGGGCCCCAGCGTGCAGGTGCCAGTGCAGACACCTATGCCGACAGCCAGGGACCTCAGGGTAGCGTCGCTCTGAGGCGGACTACGGTGAGGACCGTGAGGTGGAACAGCAAGGTGTGAGACATTGAGAGAGACCAGAGAGAGCACAAAGATTTGTGGGGCCCCCTCGCCCAGCCCCCCCGCCTGTCTGCTTGCAGGGTTGCCACTTTCTTGCTCATTCCATCATCACTCCTGTTTCCCCTAAGTGGAAAGTTCGTTTTTGGGGTTTAGTGTGTAGGCGCCAGGAGTGCGTGCTGCAGCTCTGGAATGTGCAAACGCTCGTGGAAGGGTTCATGCTCAGGGATCCTGAAAGAGCCGGTCACATACCATTAAGGTGCCAGTGGAGTTCCCCCGGTAGCTGCGCCAACCCTTTCCATCCATACTGTACGTGACGATAAACTGAGAGACGTAGAGACTGGAGAGCTTCTGACGGGCACCCTGCGTCATGATGCCGTGAATGAGCTTTGGTTCCAACAGATCGACCTATCCGTGAAAAGGGCACATTAGTGTGGATGCACCACCTGAGGTGATCACTGCCAAGAAGCCGCTACACTGATCCAGGCTTGCGGGTGAAGCAGCCCCTGACGTGCGCACGTGGCTGTGTGCGAAGCTGTGGCGGAAAGGACAGAAACGAGCCGAAGGGGGTGCCTCTCTGCTGCACGTGTGGACCCTCAGCACCCAGGTCTTGGGGCACATCAGCCTAGCCGAGGCTGCTTTCCCCACACGGAGTTTAGAGCTGCTGCATCTGTGTGCACTTCACCATGTGTGACTTCACTAATGTCACTTCTTGAGCCCCCGACAAGGTCTCTGCTGGTCTCAGACTTGTGGCCGTGAACCTGCGGAATCAGCTAGCTACACCGGGTCGTAATAGCTTTGTCTGTAACACGGAGATGACGGTGGTGCTGGTTGCGGGAACGGAAGCGTCAACACGCGCACTGCGCACGCTCGGTGCCTGGCTGCGCACAGGGCAGCGTCGCTCTGAGGCGGACTTGCTGCACCTGCTCCAGCCTCGCACCTGGCCTGTGCGTGCGCGCGGGGGTGCGGCCGAGTGGCAAAGGATGCTGGTTCTCAGGGGGGCGTGGGCCACACATGCATCTCTGCCTCAGCCAAACCGAAGTCCGCACACACCCGCTCACTTCCGGGGCTTGTGCGCCAGGTGCCATCTGGGCACTGAAGCCCTGTGGCGCTGCCACTTCAGTAGGGGAAACAGATGCTCATACACGTGTTCACTTTTGTGGCGCCAAGGAGGGGAGAGTGTGGGCGAGCAGGCAGAGGGAGGCGCTGACTTCCTAGCAGCGATGGTTCTCCCAAAGGAGGCGCTCGGCTTCTCTTGGACTGTGGCATAAACGCCTGAGTCCCATGGAGGCGACACAGATGGTGTGGTGTGTTCACGCAGCCACGTCTGAGGCGAGAGCTCGCTGGCCTCAGCCTCCTAGGCGTGTGCTACCCGTTCTCGGAACCCGCCGAAGCCACTCCGCCCTCCGGTGGCAGCTCTTCCTCATGGGAAGTGCAGGTTTGTCACCTCCCCTGGACACCGAACTGGGCCTGGGCGTGAGCCCAGCACCCCCTGCCCCGAGGAAGAGCCTGGGCTGGGGGCGCGGGCTGGGGGCGTGTGTGGCAGCCCTGCCGCCTCCGCTCAGGGCCCCCTGACTCGGCTGCCTGCCGGCTGCTATGCAGCAAACAGCCTTCTGTCGTGCCGGTACCACGTCAGCAAGTTGGGTCTGCAGCCCAGGGGCAGCGGCGGGGCGCCCTGCGGGTAGGGCCAGGGAGGCGGGGTGCGGGCGGGGCGCGGCTCTGACCTGGATCCAGGAGAAGGGCTCACTGGTGCTCCAGGCGTTCACTGATCCCGACTGGTGAAGTCTGGCCAGCTTTGGGGCCCACTGCCCTTTGGCCAAGAAAGGGGAGAAAGGAGGTTCAGCTGGGGAGCCCCTAGACACCTGGGGTGCGAGAGTGTCCCGAGGAAGTTTCGTCCCTACGCCTAGAAGGCAGAGACACAGCAGCGTCCGATGGCCCCGAGGGGTTTTCCTGCTCTTATTTTTATTTTCGAAAACTAATTTTGTGCTGGTTAGCACGTCAGCCGCCGATATGGGGATGCGTCACTAGCGGCGCCAAACAGTCTCCCCGGTGCCAGGCTGGGCCAGAGGCGGCGTGGGGGTGCAGGTGGCAGCTGCGGGCCAGCCTGCTGAGCGGAGAGGACCTGGTGCGCTGCGCTTCCCCAGGAAAGAGCGACCCCCCCGCCCATTCGTAGCGAGATGGTGGCATGTACCATGTTGTCCCGAGGCCGTAATCTGGACGTCCCGGATGTGCCCGGAGGTCATTCCCAGGGGAACGTGGCACTCTGAAAGCAGCACAGGGAGCAGCGCTGCAGGAGGGCGGCTCGCCCAGTCCGGTGCCAGCGGCGGGAGGCTGGCAAGGCTGCCGGGGTGGGGTGCGCGGCCTCGTGAGGCCTGGGGACGCGCTTCCGCTCGAAGCGTTGGCGGCGCCTAGGGGCCACTCACCCGTGCTGTAGACCAGGAGCAAGGCGCTCATGCCCGCGCGGAGGTGCTGCCCCAGGAGGCACTCGACCCGCCAGATGCCTGCTTTGGACGGCACCATCTCCACCGTCTCGAAGACGCCTTGGGGAGACAAGAGCAACAGCAGCGCTTTCTCCTGGCGGCACACGGCGTCGGGCTCCTGGCGGCGCCCAGGCCCAGCGCAGCAGCCGCAGGGCACCCGGCGCCCCAGCCGAGACGCGACACGCGAGGGGGAGAATCCCGGGGGTGAGTAGCGGGGCCGCGGCGCGCCGGGCGCGGCGTGGGAGGGGAGGTCTCTGCAGTCTCGGTGCCCCAGGCCAGCTGGGCCCGGCACAGGCGGAGCTGCGGGGCAGAGTGAGGCAGGGCCGGCCCGCGCATACGAACACCCGCGACTGCACCGCACCGGAAGTGAGGGCAGCGCAGGCCTGTGGAGCAGCCCGCGGCGAGTGCACAAGGCAGAAGCAGGGAAGGCTTGGGCAGCGTGCACGAGTTGGGCCCAGACGCAGCCACTGCAGCCGCAGCCCCGGCCGCCCTCTCCCGCCGCACTGCCTTAGCGGGCGGCTGTGCCCTGTTAGGGAGCAGCGACCTGCTCGCGCTCACTGTCTTTGTGCCCTGCAGAGACGGCCTGGGCGCGGGAGGCTCAGCTCACCCGGGTACAGGCTGCACACGGCCCCCTTGACCTCCTCCTGCCCCCGAACCGTGAGCACGTGGCCGCTGACGTGGACGGAGTGGCTGTTTTCGCTGCTGCCCATGCTGAGCAGGTGCAAGCGAGTCCTGCGGCCCTGTGCCGTGACCAGGCCGGGCAGCGAGTCCCACACGTAGCCATTGACCGCTGAAGGGGAGCACAGGCGCCCTCAGGCCCTTGGTGGCACCTGGGTCCCCATGGGGGCCCAGAGGCACCAGCCCCCCAACCCCTTGGGCTTGGCGACCATCTGGGCCATACAGGTGGCAGGGGACGGGTGCGGGCCGTTACCGTGGAAGCGATAGCGCTCGCTCACAGCGGGGTCCGCCGTGTCGGTGCCGCAGGACGCCCCGCAGTTCCTCCGCACGTTTTCGGCGAAGTACCAGCTCTTGCTCTCATCGAAGACGGTGAACAGCAGAGCAAACTCCTGCACAGTCACCTGTCTGCCGTGGGCTGCGCTCAGGGTGCCAGGGCGGCAGATGAGCAGGGGCCCCATGAGGCCCGAGTGCGCATCTCTCTCCTGAGAGGTGAGACAGCAGGCCCGTGAGGGGCCCCCCGTGGGGCCGAGGCATGGTCTGGGCACCTGCAGCCTGACTCCAGCTCACAGGCAGCGGCTGCACAGAGCACGCGAGCCCTGCTTACCAGGTCCACGTCAGAAAAGTAGGCCCAGGCCTTGCAGTCAAACTCGGGCGCGGAGGGTGCCATGTGCTGCTGCACCCCCCACAGGTAGCTCCTGGTCTCGCCGGGCTCCACGCGCCTCCTTCTGGGTGCTGCTCCTTGCCTTCGATCTTCCTCATAAGAAATAAGACTAGAATAGAAGGAGTAGGCGCGAGAGGCCTGGTTTTGGAACGTTATCTGCAAGGCAGGAGAAAGAAAGCAAGTGTCATGCGTTTGGGCCTTGGAACCCGGAGAACGCGCAGCAACAAGGCGACTCACGGTCACCTTCGGGAGCTGTGGACACGCTGAGGACACGCTGTCTTCATGACCAGAAACACATGTGCAGGGTGCGCTGCCTCGTGCTTGCATCGCCCCACTCACCATGATGCTGTCCCCCACTTCGGCCCTTACGTAGGGCCCCAGGAGCCCCAAGTGCTCGTTCAGCTCTCCCCGGTACAAGGGCTGCGTGAAGGAGGCGTCGGTGAATTCTTGAAACACGGCCTTCTTGAACTGAGCGACAGCCGGCTTGTGCGCCCTGGGGCAGGAACAGGGATGTCACGTCCTGCTGCACCCAGTGGGGGCGACACAAAAGGGCGGGGGGGGGGTGGGCGTGGACGGCCAGCGCAGGAGCAGGTTTCCCACCGGGAGGACTCCGGAGGCGTGCGGGGGGTGGGGTGTGGACGCACGCCCATCTGTGTGAAGTGAACTGGGAAAACAGATGTCGTGAGTGCACAAGAGAAAGCTACATGATCGTCCACAGTTGGACTATTTGTTTCTTAGAGACTCGTTCATTTGTGCACACGAGAGCTGGGGTGCAGCCCAGAGACAGTGGGGAGCAGCACAGGCGGAGCCACCGACACCCACCGCTGCGGGGGCAGCGGGGAGACAGAAGGGGTGTGCCGCGCCCTGGGCCCCTCCCTGGCCAGGAGCAAACTCAGGCTGCAGGGGCTGCGGGCGGCCTCTTGGTGCTGCCGTTACCCCTGCGCCCCAGGGAGGCCGCATACTCAGATCTGGATCCAGACCACGTGGGTGGCTCGCTAGAGCCAAGTCTGTATGTGTCGGGAGAGCTGGGCACCGTCAAGGGCATACTGCCTGCAGGCCTCACTGCGATGTGCACCCCGAAAGCAGTCACTGGTGTCACGGCTCTACCCCAGCAGCCGGAACAAATGCCCGCACGCAGTCCGTGTTTAAACCTTGGTTTGCTGCGTGCTGAATGGGCGGGTTCAGAAACACATTGTAAACGCGAGGGAGCCTCATGTTCCGTGCTCTGACCTTTCTTCTTCAGGGATTTTGAAGGGTTAGAACCGTAAGCTAAAGTACAACGGAGCGCATAGAACGCACGTGTTTGGGTGCAGAAACGTGGGCACCATCGAGTTCAAGGCCTTTGCCAGCAGCCCCGCTCCCGCTCGCCCCCGCGTGGCCTTGGCCAGCCCTGGCACAGGTGTTTAGCTGAGCAGCTACGGTGCCCAGAAGGGCCCTACTCTTCCTGGAGCTACGGGGGGCCCGTGCTTCCTTGGGCTGACTCGTGCAGACTGAAAGCAGAGCGGGAGAGACAAAGGACTCGTGGGTCTGGGCTGGGCAACGACTGGGGTCAAGCAGGTCTGCTGGAGGGGGCAGGACGGCGGCTGTGGGGTGAGTGAACTCGCAGGCTGTTCCTACCTCCCCCGACCCCCTCCTGGGCTGACTGGCTCTTGGGCGACATCACTGCCCGCCTGCCTGCCGCGCCCCTGGGCTCAACGTGAAAGGTGGGTAGCCATCCGTGACGGCTCCGAGACTCCGTTATCCACTGCCCCAAAGCACAGGGAGCTGCCTGCTGGCAGTGCAGTGACCCAAGGCTGCGGGCAGCGCCCATGTGGCTGCGAGCCTGTGCAGGGTTGTTGTGGGGTGGGCCAGGCACGGGGAGGGGCATCGCCAGGCCGCACGAGGCCACTGCGCCTCCTCTCTGGACCACCTGCTGTCCACCGCACTGCCTCTGCGCAGGCCCAAGCCAACACGCGAGGCTTGGGCTCACCGTCCCAAAGGGAAGGCCTTTGCTGTTCCTGCGCCCTGCCTGTGAGCTGGCGCCTGCTGTTCAGGTCTGCGCAGAGGGCTGCAGCTCACACAGGCCCGCGAGCCTCTGCGTGTCGCGGTCCTCCGGCGTCCGAGTGCACCATCAAGGGTGCCCACTGTCTGCCGATTTATCACGGCGGGACGCGCGTCCCTACTTCACTCCAACGGCGAGTGTGTGCTGCACCGCAGTGCTCGCTGACGTTTGTTATGTTTCTTCCAAATCTCTCTCTGCCTCTGACACTTGGCCCGTCCCCTGTTACCCTCTGGGGTCCCCGATACCACAGCGATTCTGCTGCCCACCGCCAGCCTCCGTCATCTGCCCTGTCCCCCTCTGGCCCACGTTAGCGTCGGCACGTTAGCGTCGCCCGATGGCCCCTGCGCTGTCGGGGCTGCGAGGGGCCCTGTACGTACCCGCAGCAGCCGCGCCTCGGGGTGCCGGGGGCCGCACCCACTCCGTAGTCCCAAAGCCGCTCCACCGCGGCGATGAAGTAGTGGCGTGTTCTCTTCTGGAAGCTGCGCGGGCCCCCGTCTTCTTCCTCACCGTAAATGTCAAACTCCTCTCTCTTCGCTTCCGTGGGGAAGAGCTCATCGTAGTCCGCCCTGTCTTCCTCCGGCCACGGCGTGGGCAGGGCCGTCTGCCCTCGAGGGCCTTCCCCGAGCACAGGCTCCACGCTGCGGCGCCCACCCACCTGTTCCGGTGGGGGTGTGACTTGTGCGAAGCCCCCCATCTCTCCCTGGGGCTGTTTTCCTTGGGTGTGTGTGTCGTTTGCCTGGCTGTTACTGCGAGCTGTGTTCTTGCTGCCGTGGAGACTCCTCTGCCCGAGTGCTGCTTCCTCTCCTACTACCACCTCGGCCCCCGACAAGAAATTCTGACGCCTCATCCATTTTTCTGACCGCACAGCTGCCGACGGAGCCCTTTGGATCCGACTTGCGGCATCGGGCGGGGCCGCGTCTCCCGCAGGACTCCCTTTGGGGGGAGCCTTTCCCGGGCTGTCCGGTAAAGCCATTTCCTGGGCGACACGACGTAACCCTGGGGCCGGAGGAGTTTCGTCCGTAACTGTTTCATTAGGAGGCAAAGAGATCACTTCTTGAGCCTCGGCCGTCTTTCCTAATACCAGATCTCGCCAGACCCATGTTCTGTTCCCAGTGAATAACGCTGGCCCGTCAGTGGAGGTGCTTGTCTTTACCAAAGAGGTATTAACTTTGCTCGGCGACATGGGTTCTTGAGGTCTCTCTTCTCGAAACACCTCACCACTCTCCATGAAGAACCCATTTTCTCCCGGTGACCTTTCTTGACTCGTCATTGGCGCTGATTCTAGCAACTTGGAATCATGATCACCTTCACCCGAGCTTGCAGGTAGCCCAGACCCAGGGAGGTGAGCTGAACTCCTGCCAAATACAGCCGTGCCTGACGGGCCGTTCGCAGGGCCTGGCGTCGCTCCAGCACCTGCTGCCCACGTGGCTGATGGGGCTGTCGGGGAAGTTACTACATTGCTTGATGAACTCAAAAATTTGGCATCGACTCTCTCGGCCTCTCCTGCTGTGGTGATCCCCAGGCTCTCACTCGATCTTAGTCGAGCTCGTGGCTCCGGGGGAAATACTCTGCTCCCACCTGCTCGGTCACGTGACCGGCCCTTCTGCCGCTGCAGGGCTCCGGCGGCAGCTCCGGTTGCGGGGTCCTGGGGTTGCGCTGTGCCAGTCTCTGCGGCCGGACTGGGCTTGAATAGCTGTCGCCGGGTGCTAGGGTGTCTGGAGTCCACAGAGAAGCTTCTGGGTGCAATGCCATCGTTTGCATCCATCAGAGAGGCTGGGATGTCTTCGTAGGTGTCGTAATAGTCATCCCCACTGTTCCTGTGGCAACTGGAAACGTTCAGTAGAGCTGTCATGCCTCTGCTCCGAAACTCTGAGTTGTGGCACCCCAGAACCCACAGACCTAGAGATGAGGGACAACAGGAATGCGGTTACTGAGAATGCAGGCGCCAAGCGGGTCCGCAGGAGAGGGCCTCTCCTGGCTGCAGGTACGGAAGAGGCTAGAGGGCGCCATCGCGTCACGTCAGCCCACAGGGGGTTCACAGCTGTGTGTGAGCACCAGGAAGCCTGTGGTTACAACGCATAGACACTGGCACAGAAAGGGAGCAATGTGGTTACCACACGCGGAGCACAAGGCGCTACTCACGCCGACCCCTTGGTAACGCAGCGGCTCAATCCGAGTCGGATCTGACCCGCTGCGCTCCTTTCCTGGCGTGGCAGTGAGGCTGAACCCACCCACGCTACACTGCATTCAGACCCTCAGCACAGAGCCTCGCCGGCGCCGTCACGTGCGCAGGAAGAGTGAGCTGCAGTGCTGGCAACGTTGGCTTCCACGAGAGCGCTTGTCCGAGGAGGAGTCGCACGGCGGTAAAGCGTGCCTGGCCTGGCGGCTCGTCACGTAGCTCCGCAGCGTCGTCGTCTTCTGCGACATCTGCAGACACAGTCTTTCCCGACTCCAGCTCTCCCCCGAGGGAAGCCTCTCCCCAAAGTGCGTTTCCGCGACGACCCGTGAAGTGATGGACGCCTGCAGGAATCCACATCCCAGCACAGCCAGGTGCTCACCCAAATAGGAAAGGAGAACAGAGTTCTGCTGCTAGACAAGGATTCAGAGCAGTCATTTTCCAGAAACGATTAGAGAATGTTGTTTCTCAAAATAAAGGGCTAGATCAAAAAGTGGGGTCCAGCGAAGCAGGAACCAGGCACCTCTCCTGAGGGCGGGCGAAGAGAAGTCCCCAGCTGAAAACTGTGCCTCCAACCCAGAGAGAAGCAGCCCAGGCTCCAGAAACACGCTCTCGTGGCTTTGGGTTTCCCCATACACGTGATGCCGTGAGGAGTTTATCTCTGGCTTACTTCCCTGAGCATAACCCCGCAGGTCCACCCATGTGGCCACGAGTGGCAGCCTTTCCCTTCGTAGGGTGACTGAGACTTGCTCATTGCTCATCTGCTGACAGTTGTTTCTGTGCCTTGATTATTGTAATAATGCTGCAGATATCTCTTTGAGATACCGATTTCCTTTCATGCCCACAGCTGGGATTGTGGGATCACGTGGTGGTTCCAGTTTTAATTTTGTGAGGAATCTGCACCCTGTTTTCCATAGTGGCTACACTAAGTTGCACCCTGGCAACAGGGGCTCTCTTTTCTCCATAGCTTCACCAGCATGCGTTACCTTTTGTCCTTTTTTTTTTTTTAAAGATTTATTTATTTATGCACATAGAACTGGGGTACAAGACAGTGGTGCAGAGGGTGAGAGGCTTCCCCAGAGACAGAGCGGGGAGCAGAACAGGCAGATCAACGAAGTCCACTGCTAAGGGGAGCAGCGGGCGGGTCAGGAGAGGTCTGCCGCGCCATGGGGTCTCCTCCGGGGCAGGCGGGGATCGAACTCATGTGGAAGTGGCTTTAGCTTCTTAGTGCTGTGCTTTTACCCGCTGCGCCACCAGGGAGGGCCATCTTTTGTCCTTTTAATGATGTCATCTTTTTCACAATTTCATTTTAAAAGGCCAGGCATTTTCTCTGTGTCTAGGAAAAAGAGACAAAAAAAGAGGCGCCTGCACAGTCACTGGGGCAGCGACAGTCACCCTGGCATGTGTCACAGTCTTTATTCACTTCCCACAAACATACGTCACTTGAAGTTTTTGGTTATGAAGTTGAGTATGTGTTATATATGATGATATTGGCTGTTATTCCCCAGAAGTTTCCTGATCAGGATGTATCTCCAGAAATCCCTTAAGCGTAACAGAATAACTACACACTACAGGTCGCTTTGTGCTTCTCTTCAGGTGATGGGGGCTGGAGGGTCAGGTAGCATGGAGAGGCTGGTGCTTGTTGCTAAGCTGTATGAATGTGAAGCAATCTGCGCTGGGTGCTTGTCCTGCTCACAGGGCTGGCTCTCGCAAAAGCAGCTGTTACGGAAACTGACAGTCACATGCACACTGAAGGCTTCGCGGTGGTTCGAAGGTAGGTGTGCGTGTACTTCCCAAGGCTCCTAAGTAGTGTTTATCCAGCCAAAGTTCACAGAACGCACAGAAACATCTTTAGTCCTCACATGTGTTATAAATGTCTATTCACCGCTACATGCAGTAAACACTGTTAAAACTTACCCACGGCAAGTAAAGGCACTTTTCAGAGGAAAGGCTTTTAAGTTGAATACATGCTACAGCGCTGTCGTTAATACCTTGCAGTTATCAAAATCACTCGAACCATTTGGTGTCTGCACAGACATGAGCAGACATGAGCAAAAGAGCATGTGGATAGCTAGTGAAGCAATCACAGTTGTTAGTAAAAGAAGAATATAAAGATCTAACCTGGGTTTTCCATTGACATGAATACCGTTTCTCCTGAGAAGGGGAAAAGGGTGAGTGTGTCTTCATAGACCATTTTGTGTTTGAAGGTATATCCAGAGAAGAAAACAGAGAGGAAGTCAGTCTGTGCTCCAACACTTAGAATGTACCAGTATGCCACCTCATGCAAACAAACTGACAGCTGCAAGCTATCAAAAACATAACCGTTGATGCCTGCAAGATAAATGGGAAACAAGATGCTTTAGCAAGATCTGGATTTCCTATTTTGAAATGTCATGATATTATTAGAACTGATTATATGTTATCTGATACCCAAGAAGGCACAGTATTATATGTCCCTCCAAAAGTACATTGTTGATACTTGATCACCTAGGCCTAATCCCAAAGTGAGGACAGTCATAGAGCATCATGGTAAAGACAAATTTATAAGTTGTATAATGGGGGGAGGGGAGCAGATTGATGATGAACAGGACATGTGCAAAGTTAACATCTGCAAGTCTTGCAGATTCCAGGAAACAGATTGCAAGGAATGAGAACAAGTTGATGCAATGCAGGGTGGACAAAATGCTACAAAAGACAACATTGACCAATATATCGGAATCTTGACATTCAATGAAATAAATGTATTTATGTTAAATTTTATGAACTTCATAGCTCCACTTTGGTTATTCATAGGAAATACAATATAAAATATTGTGTAATAAAGGACAACAAATGAAAGTGGAAGAACACATATTAAAACCTATGGGTTGCTGCAAACACAGTTTTAACATAGAAATTGATGGTGATATCATCTGAATTGTGAAAAAAGAGAGCTCTTAAATAGACAATCTAACTTTAGAGCTCAAGGAACTATAAATAGATGATAAAACATAGCTCAAAGTTAGCAGAGGGAGGGAAGGAAGGAAACAGCAAAGATCCGTGCAAAAACAAAAAAGGGATCAGAAAAAAAAAATTAACAAAACTATGATCTGTTTTTTTTTTTTTTTTGAAAGACATACAAGACTGGAAAAGTTCTAGCTAGAGGTTAGGAAAGGGAAAGAACTCAAATGAATAAAATCATAAATGAGAGAGCGGACTTGTACAACAGATGTAAAAAAAATACAGAGGATCGTGGACTACTATGAACAGTTAGTTACCCACCAACAAATTAGATAACCTTAAACAACACATAAATTCCTAGATGCATGAACCTACCAAGAAAGAATCATAAAGAAATAGAGAATTTGAATAGATCAATAATGAGTTAGGAGGTTGAATAAAAACCTCGCAACAAAAAAAATCCCAGGGCCAGATGGTATCACTGGGGAATTCTACCACACATTTCCTGAACTGCAAGAAGTCCACAAAAAACTACTAGAACTAATAAATGAGTTTTCCTGATTGCAGATACAAGGTAAACATGCAACACTCATCTACTAGTTCTATGAGGTTTTTGTGGTGTTCTTGAGAGTTTCTATATAGATGAACATGTCATATTTAGTTTTATTTCTTTAGTTCAAGCCTACTTGCCTTTAGATCTGTGGTGCTGTTACGTCAAGTCTAAACAACCGGTACAATCTCTGTGTGTGTTTATGTATGATTGTATAATCATGGAGAAAGTATGTCTTAGCATTAGCTCTGTGGGCGTAGAGGGTGAATGGAAAGGTGTAAACTAGAAGGAGATGGGGATCTCGCAACCGAGTAACACTGAAAGAATCACATTGTGCCCTTAAGTACATTCCATCTTCATTTGGCAATTATACCTTAATAAAGCTACAAGAGAGAAGTTGGGTTTTTTTTTTTTTAAACATTTATATATTTGTGCATCCAGAACTGGGGCACAGGCCAGAGGTGCAGGGGCGGTGAGAGGCTTCACCAGAGACAGAGCGGGGAGCAGAACAGGCAGAAGGACGAAGTCCACTGCTGAGGGGAGCAGCGGGCGGGGCAGGAGAGGTCTGCCGCGCCATGTGGGTCAGCTCTGGGGTGGGGATCGAACTCGAGCTGCAGTGGCTTCGGAGAGCTTCTTAATGCTTTAGCCTGTTGTGCCCCCAGGGAGAGCCCTGGGTTTATTTTTAATTCACGCTATTTTGATTAATTTGATCCTTAAATTGGTATAGGTGGCGGCTGTTTTAGATAATGTACAATTGTATTCCCCATGTAATTTACCAGTTGAGTGCATTTTATATTAAGGATGGATTGTGCACATTTGGGTAAATGAAAGCTGTGTCTTATGTGGTTTGTCCTATAAAAATAAAGTTCCCTGAGTATTGTATATCTCCGTAAAGAGAACAGCAAATATACATTATATGATCATATTTACACATCGATGAACTAGTGTCTGGTTTTATGACACTCTCGAGGGGAACAGCTCCCTTTGCACAGGGTCGAAGCCCCCAGTATGTGGACATTGCTTTGGTCGCCTCCCTCTGCTGTGGCCCGTCGCACGCCAGGGCTGCCCCACTCACTGTGCATGATGTTGGAGGCCTGGAACTCTGGGTCCTGAGGCGGCACCCCGTCTGCACTGGGGAGGAAGCGCTGCATGTTCTCTGCGAGGTACCAGCTTTGATTCTCATCAAACACAGAGAACAGGATGACGTTTCTCTTGTCAGACATCATCTGGTAGTTACACGCGTCGGGAGGGAGGAAGCCAGCGTTAGTGGAGGAGAACGACTGCATGTGAACCATCTACGGTCCTCTGTGCAAGTCCAAGGCTTCCTGGGGCCCCACTGCCGCATGCGCGTGGTACAAACGTGTCCTCAGGACAAGAGGGTGACTGGGCCTGACTGGGCCTGCGAAGTGAGCTGGTCGCTTCTGGACTCAAGGACACAGGCTGGCTGACTTCTTCATGGTCCCCTCCAAGCTCGCATTCAAGGGTTTTCCCTCCTTACAGATCCAAGTGAACATGCACTGTCCCTCAGACACACCAGTCACGCCAGAGGAGAGCCTTTCGAGGCGTGTCTCTAGCAAGCCCCCTTCTGTTGAAAATCCCGAATAGCAACCAGACACAAATAACAAAGATGAGCCAGAAAATGCCAACACTAACCCCATAGTTTGCCGTTTACGAACTTGCAATTTTTTTCCCAGTTTGTGGATGAACCTACTTGTTGAGTTAGTCACTTGTGCATGGAACGTAGAATTTAAAGTGTAAATTTGCTAATATGTATAAATTTCCTTTTGTATCACCGAAGCTAGAGACTAGAAGGCCGAGAAGCCAAGAGAAACTATGCTCCGCCAGGACAGGCCGAGTCTGTGCCAGCGCTTAGCTTTTGCCAGCGACTAGCCTGGAGGCCGGTGAGGGAAGAATGATGCTTTTCTCGTTCAGAGAATTTATATTTGGTTTGTAAGGCAGCAGAAATGGCCCAGATTCTAACCATATGCTCACATAAGTTTCCAAGTACTGTGTTTACCAAGTATCCATTGAAGGCCTACTGAATGCACTGGGCTGTGTTAATTTGGAATTTGCGGGTCACCTCTAAGTGGGTGGTAATTGAACATGTAAATGGACAAGATTACTACAAAGAACGTAATTTTCCACGGGGGGGGATTTACAGTAGTTTGGGGTCCAGCCAAGTACAGTCCCTGCTGGGAGGAAGCCAGCTTGCTTCTGAGTGGCCGCAGGCTCTCGGCATGAGGAGCGTGCCCTGCGCCGCGGACAGGGCACGCCGTGGCTGTTCAGCCCCGCAGCCAGCTCGGGATGACCAGCTCTCACCTGGTTTCCTCTTTTGTCCACAGACTCTCTGTAGCAGATGAGGAGAGGGCCAATGAGGCCGGAAGCCAGATCTCGCTCCAGATCGACGGCGCTGGCGTAATACCGCGTCAGGCACCGGGGGTCTGCCTTGGTCGGTCCGTCTTCTCGCGCCACGGTCCATTTGTACTTGAAGATCTCTCCAGGCTGAACTGGAAGCTCTTTCAAGTGTTTCACACCTACCCACGCCAAACCCCAAGAGCCTGGTTAGCTGGTGACCGTGCCCCCTGGGAAGGCGCCACAAATCTTTGTGCCCATATGAAGTCTCTCCATAGCTGGGAACTCAATTTCCACCTGGGGCAAGTTTAAGACCCTCACGATGGTCTAGGAAATTTCTGGCAGCCTGTCGGTGAGTTGAAATGGCAGGTACCTCCTATGAGAAATGCAGAGAAATAACCGCTACCGTTTCCCGGCGCCTCGAATGCACAGCTGAAAATGCACGGGAAGAAGAGTCCACGTGGGCCCACCCCGGCCTCAGCCTGCGGGCCCAAGTCTTCACCGGTGAGGCATCACCGTACACGTGGCTGTGGGAGCCGGGCTGCTGGGTCCTCGGGGCAAGAACTGCTGATGTCAGTAGTCGAGATGCAGTTTGGGTCAGTACCTGCAGGTCCCGCATAAAAGCAGAGTTCACCCGCCACCCCCCCGGCTGAGCGTGGCAAACAGCCTGGTGCGTGCTTTCCGCGTGTCTCGGCCTTCCCGGAGGCGGGAGACCAGCCGGGAGTGACACTTGCTGATGGGCTCTGCCCCCGGAACTCTCCCTCTGACAACACTGTTCGCGTCGTGGCAGGTGTCTGCACGCCAGCTTCTGCCTAGGGCTTTGGCGCCAGCAGGGACCTCAGCAGCGCTTGACACGAGAGACGCCACTCCGCCGCCCTGCTCCTCACGTCAGCTCTTGCCTCAAGGGAGGCACCCAAAACCCCAATGCTCCTGGACCCTGTTCTAGGCAGAGTGTCTTGAAGAGATGTGGCGGCTGCTGTCGACCACTAGAGGCAGCTTCTGCTTCCTCGCGCACCCACAGAGGGCACAAGGCCACTGCACCCGGGCACTGCTGCCCTGTGAATTCTCCACGCGTACTCGTGAGCCCCACGTGTCAGGGACACGCTGGCCGCCTGCAAGAGGATCTGGGCTGAGCCGCCTGGGGCTTGAGGTGCTGCGCCAGTGAGTGGGGCAAGGCCCAGCACCATCTTCCCATTCTTTGCGATTGAGGCTGAGACGTGACCTGGGTGTGCGCGGCGCACCTACCTTTCGGCAGCCGGCTGGAGTGCAGAGGGCTGACGTCAGCGATTCCGTGGGGGTGAATGTTATAGGGCCGGCTGGCTCGGTTCTTAAATATGATCTGCAAGCATACATGAGGCCGGAGGGCGAGTGTGAGCACCACCGAGCTCAGTGGCAGGCGTGAAGACGCACAAGCTAAGCGGCCCGGGCGGTGCGGTCTCTGCAGCAGGCAGAAAAGAAAGCGTTGCCATTTGCGCCGGCAGGGTGGCTGGAGGACCTGAAGCTGAGCCAGTGAGTGAGTCGGAAGGCGAAAGGCGAACACGACCTCAAAGGCAGAACGCAAAGCGTCGCATGAAGCCCAACGACACTCAGCCTTGCGGAGAGCAAGGAGGGAGCGCAGCGGCTTCGGTGGCTTGTGTTGGGCTCAGTGTGGTCACCTGGAGGGGACCGGATGCCGCTAAAACACAAAGTAGAGTGGTGACGCCTTGCACGTGCGTTATAAAACAGGAACGGAAACAGCCGCACAATGCTGGGCCTGGGCCTGACGCTAGACGTGGCTCGGGCGTCACCGCCGGCCCCGTGTCGGGGGAGCGCCCGTCCGAGCTCTAGGGGCTGCTGCTTTGCAGAGGTACAATTGCAGTTTTGTTTCTTTAAGATTTATTTGTGCACTGCACCCGGGGCGTCCCTCCCTGGCCGCGGGTGGAAGTGGCTCTGAAGC